TACAGAGATTGTGACCACTACAGGGGCCACGGCCTACCGGGACAAACCTGGAGGACCCTATTCACTTCGCTGGGACCGTAGGAACAACGATTCCTGGAGGAGTGTCGAGGATAGAAATCCTCGGACGCTGACTGATTATCGTACGAGGGGAAGAGAGAGAGACGATGATCCATGGCGACGTAGGGATGATGAGATAGACCGAGACCACAGAGATCGCGAGCCGTTTGCGCGAGCAAGGAGGCTGGATGATTACCCGCGAAGCCCTCGCTATGAGGCCGATCGGGGTAGAGGCGACTCCCGCGGCCGATGGGAGACAAATCAGGGCCGACGAGATGGATATAGGGACGACAGATACGAGAGATCGGACCGAGATGGATATAAGGACGACAGATACGAGAGATCGGACCGAGACGGATATAGGGACGACAGATACAAGAGGTCGGGTCGAGATGGCTACAGAGGTGGTAGGTATGAAAGAGGAGATCGGGACTGGGAACAACGAGATGGGCCGCGCGGACGGTTTGAGCGTGGGGGAGATGCGAGAGAGCAGCGCGACGAGTCGCGGGGGTGGTACAACCGAGGGGACCGACGCGATGAGTCACGAGGGCGATATGACTCGGGGGACCGCCGGAATGATTCGCGAGGGCGGTATGAGCAAGGAGGGTCTGGAGGAGACCGCCGCAACGATTCGCGCGGTCGGAATGAGAGAGGGGGATATGGCGTCTCATCAGAACCATATCCCAAGTCGCCTGACCCCAAGGAAGCCAGGAGTTCGATCTCTAGAAGCGCAAACGACATACCCTCTACTCCCAGGAACTCATGCGTCTACTGTAGAGGAGAAGATCATATCAAGAGGGATTGCCCGGACCTCAAACGGGCAATAGATAAGGGACTTGTCGTGCTTGACGACCGCAAGTACGTCAAGTGGGCAGATGGTCTGGGAGATGTATCGATGTTCCGTTCGATGAAGGAGAATGTCGAAGCAAGGAGAGTAAAGCCGAGTAAAGAAAAGGAGCTGGTCAGGAGCCAGAGCATCAAGATAACCTTTCAGGGGGATATGGCGACCACACCCATAAGGGTGACAGCCACCAAGTCGGCGAGAGGGTGTACATCGAAGAAGACTGACACGGACTACGTGATGGTGGAGAAGGACGGGCAGCGGGTCGATGGAGAGGAGGTTATCCTTTCGCCGCGAAAGCGGGGAGTGAAGAAGTTCTTAATGAAGAGTTCGCTGGACAAGATTGACACGGTCGAGCCACCGAGGCGGGCCCTTCGGCAACCCATGAAGTGCTCTATTCTGGATTACCTGGCGGCATCGAACCCGGCTCGTGATGAGTTACAGATGATGACGCGGAAGACTCGCATACCTCTATCGGAGGAGGGTCAGGGGGCCCCTAAGGCGGAAGCTTCTACAGTAGCAGTAACGGGGGTGACTGCCAGAG